AATATTCTTAACGGGGTATATGACATAAGGTGGCTGAAACTGTTTGCATGTAGCTCATACCTACCAGAACTATATACATACATTTTTTTGTTTCCTTAGCCAAAGGAGTTTTCCTTAAAAGAAAATAATTTTGATTTGGATTCCTCCCTAACAGTACTAATGTAGTATGAAAAGTCAAAATTGCTGAAGGCAAAAGCTTGACCAGAAAAAGAATTGCCTGCAAACAGTCATGCATACCAAAGATCATTGTTTCCTAAGGACTGCATCCAGTTCTGCAGTTGAATTTCTCCTGTAGACAATCTTGTCCATGAAGTGGTGTGAGCAGCATGGGATGATGTGTGACTGGCAACTAGTAGTGATGCCACTGATTTTTCATTTGGGATGTATTGAGAAAAAACCCTCTTCCTTAATAATTGGAGAATGCTTTTGGTCGTTCGGCCAAAAGCATTCATCTTGTTTGAGTGTCCTTTTTTTGTTTGTTTTTAAGAATGGAATTGTGATGTTCTGTAGTCCGTCTGGTCAAAATATTGATTCAGATCTTGAGCAGACAAGTATTGCAGACAGCTGTGGGGTTTTCTCTGAGCTCTGTATGGCAAAGCGTTCCCTGGCCTCTGCTCAGGGATACCAACTGTTGTGGTAGGAGCCTGCTCTAAGGAGTGGTGAGGTGCCAGCTCTCCTCTTTCCAGTCATGGCAGCAGATGTTGAACATATGAGTTCCTCAGATTTATGTGCTTTTTACACAATATTGTTGAAATTTGTTAACTATACTTTTATGATTAAGGTATAGAAAATGAGTTTTTTAACAGAGTTTTTTCACTTTTTGATGGACTCTGAGATAGTGATGAACCTGCTTGCCTGCCCCCAAAATACTCCAGAGACTGTAATTTTCCTCTAGCTGTATGTTAGACCAGCAATTCAGAGATTTATTTCTCATAGGATAGATAATACTTCTAGGTATACATTCTTGCTACATCTTTCTATCTTCCTACTCATTTCTTTCTTCCCCCTTCACAGATCCAGTAGGCTCAAATATACATGTGAGTACTTGAGCTTGAGTACTGCCATTGGTGGTTGTCTCCTGAACCCCTGAAATCTTACGAGCCTTGGTTATCTGCTTACGGAGGCTGATGAAGGAGTCAGTGAGGTAGAGGACCTTGGATGTGGACATGGTTTCCTCTTCTAAGCCAGCCTCCTTCTATGTGCTGTTAGGCTAATGCTTTTGTATGTTGACCTGGTGAGGTCGACAGGAGCAAGTGAGCTATTCTTCTGAATGATTTGGAGTTTTTTAAATGCACTCTTTTTCTAGAGACATTTATATTAACCTGGAAATTATGTGAGCTTCAGATATTCTGTCTGAAGAAAAACTATGTCAATGAAATCTAGTTTGTATTAAGAGAGAAAACTTGTCTCTGACTGTGAATAGAGGCTGAGACAGGTCTTGAAGTGTTTTGAATGTGCCCTCTGTCTTTTCAAGCAGTGCTTGAAAATCTGATTGAAAGCCAGTGCAAAAAAGCTGTCTGATACAAGATGATGCTGTGCTGTTGATTCTGTTATGTGGTTTTTCAGTACTGCAACTGAAGAAGGGTATTGACACATGTGTAACTGCACTGGAACAACATTGTAGATGAGGGGATTTGGGGGATTAGAGGTTATGAGCAGAGGACAAGTAACTCTAGTTAAGAGTGGAGTTGATAAGCCAATAGATACTATGAAAGAGTACTGAATGATGTGCAGTAATAGAAATTACTACTTCAATTACTAAACTTCACAACATTACAAATGGAGAGATAAATTCAGAATTATACATATTTGCAATGAGTTCAGTGTTTTGAAAACAGTTTTTTGTGTACAACTGAGAGTCAGAAAGGATATTTATGCCTAAGGAGCAGTTAAAAACAAACAACCCAAAAATTTGACAAAAAAGTCTGTGAGAAAGGAAGGTAATGAGGTGGCTGAAGAACAACATGGGTTTGCCAAAAGCAAACCAGGGCACATAATGAAACATATGAAACACAGCTCTTGAAGAATTGCAAGCTCTTAACTGAGAGGATTGATAATAACAGTACTTTTCATCTCTATGATGTAGATGATGCATAAAGGAGTGAATAAATCAAAACTAATAAGGCAGAGGTTAATATTTACGGTTGCGGTCTCTTGTCCTTATGCTGCTTTGAGATTGCCATTCTGTTGTTCTTTAAAAACTTATTAGTAATACAAGCTACAGAATAGTAGTATCTACATAGTTTATAATAGTTTGGATGCTCGATGATGGAAGTCTGTCCCATCCAGGTGTGCGAAAACACTCTCTGGAAGGGAGTGTGTAAACCAAGCTGGACCTAGAGCCCTCTCTGCTGGATGGCTGGGAAACAACACTTCTAACAGGAAAAAATAAGAATTTTTATTTAGTAAAGAAAATCTGAGGCTAGTACAAGAAATATAGACATAAACCATAAATCCTACATAGTTGAAGTCTTCCCTATTATAAGAAGATGGAATAGGATACACTTATTTCATAAAATGGCATTCTCTTATTAAATTATCAGGTGATATATTTTAATGATAATTCTTTCCTTCTGAGCGAATATGGGACTGAGAGGAGAAGAAAAGAATTAGTTTCATCTTAGAAATTTGAAAAAATTCATAATATCTGTGCCAAAGAGGAATATTCAAGTCAAGGATTTTCTAACCATATAAATCCTAGGGGGTGTAGGTGGGTGCTGTGTTTTTGTAGTAATGAACCAAAGAAATTAACACTTACTATAAAGCTGTTGTAATACATGGAAAATACGTTATTCCAAGATGAAGTACTTTCTAAAAAAAGGCATTTGGCAAGGTGTAACACATGTGTTTGTTTTAAAATAAAATATATTTTCCAGTAAGAGGGGAAACCCTATTATAGTAATTATCATACATATTTTATCCCTAACGTAAAGCCAAACACAGACATTCAGAAAATTTTTTCATTCCATTTGACTAATGGAAAGAGAGAAAAGGAGAATTGCAGAGAATAACTGGATTGTCGCTTTACTGCCAGCGCTAGAAGATCCGTTAAAACTATGCAGCTCCCTGAAGTCCAGTCACTTGGAACTGATTCTGAAGAGTGCATGATCACATATGGGTTTTTTAAGCTCAAAAAAGTCTAGTGGAGATAAGAGGGATCAACATTGAATGAACTTGTGGGATGTGTTGACTCTTCCTTCTTCTGTGGTTTTTCAAGATGGGGTAGCAGCTGAAGACATTCATGACATATCTGGTCGCAGAAAGTTCATTAGGGAAAAAAAAATATTGCCTTTGTGTATGCATTTGGGGTCCTCTGAAATCTCACATGCGTGGAGAACTACAGCAAAACAGCTACTGATCTTTATTAAACTTGATTTCCCTTCATTTCCTGTCTAGGGAAGGAGAAGCACATTTTGGAAATGTTTGATGTTTTGTAAAGTGTTCATCATAAGATACTTTTTTTTTTTTGAGTCGTCATTTCACTTAAGGTAACAACTTGATTAACGACGTTGTAGAGCAGATGGTGTCGCTTTAGGGCTTTTTTCCTACTTTTTTTTAAGTCACAGTGTCATAACCACTTCAAAATTTAGATTAAAAATGTTGTAAGAAGTGTAGACTGTCAAGATACTGGAAGATATTTTAATATGTTTTTGTTCTGTAAGAATAAGCCCTATGAGGTGACTATTTCTGAGGAAAAAAATAACAAAAACAGAAACAAAAAAGAAAAACCTGTCTAACTAACCAAACTAACTGCATGAATTTATCACATTGTATCACCCACCAAGTGTTTTGTGAAAGGCAGTAAAGACCTTGTGCAAAAGACTGAATTTGTTCTCTTGAGAAGACAAGAGTAGTGAAAATGTAGACTGAAGGAAGCCTTTTGTATTTATGCTCTTGTTTTCCCTGGTTTTTTCCTGTCATTTGTTGACCCAGCTAATTCTAATGGTCACATAAACAAAGACATTTTAACAGTCTGCTTATAGAAGTGGTATTAAAAATACCTCAGTAGTACTTATTCTTCACAGAAGAATTAATGCAGAAACACTATGTTACTAGTTTTTCTCTTTGTTAGATCTCAAGGTGTTTTCTCAAGTATTTTTTTTGTATAAGGAACAGTATTTTTTTATGTAGTTGTATCATTGATATTGAATATTGGGCAGCTTTCTAATAGCTTCTTTACATGTGTATACACACACAGATATCTTCTTGGTAGGGTAATACATGCTACCTAACCTCTACTGCATGAGCTTTAGATTATGCTTAAGCTACATAAGCATATTGCAGAGATACAGACAGTTCTAGTGTTAACCTATGAGAGGCCTCAAAGACAAGAGCAGATCAACCAGGATTGGCTGTGGAGCAGAACAAGTGCAGGTGGAATGGTGCTCAAGGAGAGCTGCAACCTGTCAGTGGAGCTGGCGGCCAGGGGCTGTAGTGAGAAACAAATGCATCCATTTCCTGTCTAGAAGAAACTCCTCTGACTTTTCTTCTTATCCCCTAAAGCTGTCGAAGGTCTCATCCTGTCCATGAGTCCTGCCTGGCTGTAGCTACCACAGCAGAATAAAACTACAGCAGCCAGAGTGTGTGATGCTGGTATGCTAAACCCACAGCTGTAAAGGCACCATCTTTCTTACAATAGCTTGAGTAATTTCTGAAGATGTTTTAGGCAGATCGACCTCATTAGAAAGCAGAAAAATGAGTGGAGTGAATATATGGCTGCTTTCTTCTTCAGTTGTAACTTAGCAATTTTGCAGGTGGTGCTCTTGTGGTGTCAGGAGGCGTTAACTTGTTCTGTGCTGGGATGGAGTGATTTTGTCTGTGCAGGCCTGTCTTCTTATGGCTCAATAAAACCTTTTCCCAAAATAATTGCACAATTCTAAGTTCTGTTTAATTTTAAATAGATTTTATGATGCTGATTTTACCCAGGCTATGATACACTGCAGAAGTTTTCTTAAATTAATTATCTCTTGTATATATCTATATGTGTTTTTTATTTTTGTTTTTCAGGGCATGGCTTTTACCTTGGAGGAGAGGCAACAATTGAATATTCATGGATTATTGCCACCTTGCTTTCTTGGTCAAGATGCTCAGGTTTATACAATCCTAAAGAATTTTGAAAGGCTGACATGTGACCTAGACAGGTAAAGTATGGTTATGAAACTTTGTCCTACTCACCAATTCCCAAGTCACTTTTTTTTTTGTATGGTAGTACAGATGAAATTTATGAATATTTTTTCAGTAGTTTTTCTGTGGTTGTTGATTATTGGGAATCCTTAAGCTAAATACATATTTTTGCTGGAAGCTTTCTTTAAATAATCAATTCCTACTTTAAAATTGCAATCTTCCAGAGCTGTTCACATGAATTTTCTTTGATACAAAGGTCGCCAGAAGTAAATGATTCATGTGAAACTAAAAGTAATGACTTAACATGCATATGGATACATATCCATCAAAACATAATAAATTTGTAAAATGTAACTAATGCAACTAATATGTAACATTGTGTTGCTGCACTTGGGTATTTTTAAGGAAAAAAATCTGGGAAGGGCTTTAAATATTTACGAATACTAATTTTTTTTCTTTAAATAACTGTATTTAAAAGGCTCTAGAACAAAACACTCTTCATGTCTTCCTCCTTTGCCACGCTCTCCTCTGTTGTGGGATGTCTTTCCATCAGTATGTAATACATGGCTTCTAGGTGCCCATCTGTTGGTGACAAGGCTTTTTTATAATTTAAAGTTGCCACAACCTTTGTTTCTTACGGAGTCAGAATAGGATGAGGCCAGCCTTCCTTGCAGAAGAGCTTGCAATTGTGTTGTCTTTTGTAGGTTAACTGTTCTCCAGTGCTCTCAGGAAGGCCATTATCAGTTATTATCACAGAGTAGTAGCTTCCCAGGCTAGAATGAGTCTGAGTTCTTGCATATAGGAAAGTTTAAAATTTCATTAAGCTCTCTGATTCAACCATTGATATTACCATAGGAGAAAACTTTCTCTGTCCTTCTGTCCCCATCTCCTCCTTAACTCTGCCATGAGGTAGTGCCTTCATGATACAGCTCCTAGTTTCATGTGTTTAAGGACATTTGAGTCAGTTCCAACTGTTTGTTTCAGCTTGGATTGCTTTAATTTCTCTTCACCTATAACTTGATAACCAGAAGAAAAAAGGTCTTTACCCCATTGTTGTGTGTGTTTTTTAACTACGAAAAAATTCTGCACTTTCTTCAGGTCATAGCATAAAAACACTCCTGCTTCTCAAAATATCACAGATAGAATGTCACAGGTCTAGTGATTCAACAGTCAAAAGGAGATTAGCAGAATTTCTTAAAACACTGTATTTCTTAATTATTTCTTAAAATAAAGTTTTTATTTTTTTTTAGGAAAAAATTGTGGATATTCAAGCAGCTTTTTGCCAAAATGAAAAATTTCTTCAGGAAAGGAAGAAAGAATTAACTATCAGTTTTAAATGACAGAGTATTAAAACTTTGCATTCAAAGTTTTAATGTGCCTTTTGAACTGCAATAAAACACTGAATGCTGAAGTTTTGATTGCAGTGGGAATAATGAAATAAAAATTACTGTCTCCAAGTATTGTGGGAATACTTTGCAGCTATCTTTATTATGTCAAAAAAAAAAAAGGAAACAAATCTGTCTGTCTTGAGCGTGGGGAAGGAAATTTTTTAAAGCATATCTTATCCATGTATGATAGACACAAATAATACAAAAGTATAAAGAAATATAATATGGTTAAAAATAAATGTAAACAAAAGGTTTTCCAGAAGCCATTTGCTTCAGATAATTTTTTTCCAAAACTACCCCTGTTGACATTAAGATCTGTAAATACTTAATTAAACAAAAACTTGATGTCCTTCTTTCCCACCCATGAGTCTTCTTTGGCGTTTTCTCTTTTTCAAATACATAGTTGAGTAAGGAAGAAATTTGTTTCCTGCTCCTGTGACCAGACATCTGTAAAACAGAAGCGCTAACATTAAATTATTCCACCCATGTGTCTGGAACACTAGACTGTAGCTTGCCATTTTATACTATAAAGTCAGTTATTATAATGCCTGCTTTAGTATAAAGGTTATATTGTACCGTGCAGCTTTGCAGCACAGATTTATTCTTGTTAATTCGGTTTTAGCTATGCAGTTCAACTGAGAAAACTAGCAAGTCTTCCATTCACAGAAAAATCTTGAAACTATTACAAGTTAGGGTTTTTTCTCACTAATGTGTCCACTAGTCAGAATACTTCAAATAAGATCTTAGTAATTAACACAGGAAAAAAGTGTATAGCTGTGTTTATTTCTCAGTTTTATTCTGTAAGTGTGTCTGTGCTATCTATCAGCTGTAATTTTTGGTCCAGGCATTTGAATCTTCTCCTTTCCTTACAGTGTGAATAAATACTATGGGCCCATTTGTAATGCTAGAGACTCTGTTGTGGTGTCTCCATCCATGGGAGTTGTTTTCAGTTCACCTAACTGAACGTGGGCCTGGGCAGACTGCTCTAGCTGACTCTACTTTGAGCAGGGAATCAGATTAGGCAGTCTCCAGAGGTCCCTTTCCAACCTGAGCTAGTGTATGCTTTCATAACACAAGTCCATAGTACTTAAGAAACAAGTTTGCAGGGATAATACTGGATCAATGCAAATTGCGTAAATTAAGTCAGATTGTCCCTTAGGAATATTAAATTATATAAATCCACAAGTACCCCCTAAACTGAATTTTTTTCTTTAAGAAATCTTATTTATACTCTGTCTGAACACCTAGCAGATTTAAATTGACTATTCATGCCATGCATGTTTTGATTAAAAAATACTCTCCTCATGTATTATTGGGTCTTTATATAGCTGTGATGTTTTCCATGTATTATTGGGTCTTTATATAGCTGTGATGTTTTCTCTATTTTTTAGCAAAATAAAACTTAGTTACATGCATAGGTCTACATTTAAGAGCACTGATGGAAAGACTTGGTAATATTTGCATGAAGAAGATACTTCTTCATGCAATAATACAGATAAGTCTGTAAACATTGACATCTTGGGCTCCTTTGCAGATAAAAATCTTCTCTGAATTGAGTGTGCAGAAATTTGCATGTGCAAAATGTGATTTGCAGGTGTGTTTATAAGTCAAGTGTCTGACAATTTAATTGGAGTATGTCAGTAAAGAGCCTGCTTGGAGAACATGTGCATTACATGTGGTGAGCTCAGTCCCCCTCTGGTTTCCTATATTTATACTTGTATCAAAGAATTTTAAAGAGTGAATGTGATCCTGCCACAATTACTCCTCGAATCTCTTCACTCATGAACAATGTCAGAAGCTTTGAACTGGAACTTGAAATCTCAAGTGCTCCATGTAAAGGCAGGTGCTCAGGGACAATCTTGTATAAGAGCATGCAGTTATTGTCTTCTACTGACTGTAAATGTCCTAATTCCAGGAAAACCCCCATGTTTCTTGCAGCATGCATCTGGCATAATCTTTGCTCCCATAGAAACAGCGATTGAAAAGAGATGAAGGGAGGCTGTTGTTTTTCTTCTACAGCTTGGCAGTAGGTGTATACATGTGTGTTACATCCAAATACAAAGGTTTAAGTACAGGCATTTAGATATTGCAGAAATTACCTTATTTTTTAATTTTTAAATTTTAATTTTAAATTAAATTACCTTGATTGTTAATACCTTAAATAGAAGGCTATCATCTGATGGAACATAAATGCTGTGTATGACAGCATCTTACATTGGCAGGATTGGCCTGGTTTTGCTTGGGAAGTGGGTGTGTGTAAATTCATGAAGCCAAGTTGATAGCTAGTACCATGACATGACATGTTTTGGCACTGCTGTAAGCCTTTGCAAACCTGTAGCATGAAATTGTATTCTGAAATACCAGAAGTTCATACACAAAATGAATGTGGAACAGCAGCAAATCAATTGCCTGGTACGCTTGGCAAAAGGGACACCAATAAGAGGAAAAAATTCTATTCCTTTAACTTAATTTGGAAAAGCTGTGTTGGATTCTGCAAGTAATTTATTTTTTTTTCTCCCCTGTATGTTCTTAATTGTCTTTCTTCTTGCTCTGTATTGATACTGAAATTGTTGCTCCTGGCACGGTGACATCTTCTGCCTGAGCTTCTCTTTCTTCAAAAAGTCACACTGTAAAATGTTAAACTGGATATGTTAACATTAGGAGGGGGCCATCAAATCGCTTTTCCAGAGAAGGCCATCTTACTTTGTTTTTTTTCTTAAAATTCCCTGTCTTTAAATAATTTTTAAATAGATGCTGGTGATGCAGAGAAATAGAGCTAAGTGTCTTACACAGGTTAAAAATTATAGCCTTTCTTCTCACTTTCTTTATTTACTCTAATATTTTTTAAGATCAGAGCAAAAAAGTGTGGCATTTGTTCTGTTTACACATATCCATTTTGCCATGTAGAGTGTATGCCAGTGATAGTTGGGCCAGTTATCCTAAGAAATTATTAGTAACTATCTGCTAGTTCTATCAGTTTTCTCTTTGGTTTTGGATGATATGTGGTTTATATCCTTTTGTTTCTACTGTATTTAATTACCTTCATAATAGCAGACTAGTATGAAACATTCTTAGGTGAAGTAAGGGCAAGGGGTGGCAGAGTGACACACTGAAATTTGAATGCTTGGCAGTCTCCTCTGTATGACTTGCCAGACCTTGGATTTTTTCCCTCTGAAACTCTTCCCTGAAATCTTCATTCATGACTCCTTGTCTGAGGACAGATAATATTTTTCTCCCTTTTTATGGCACAAATGGTTGTTTTCACTGTTTTATTGCTTGTTTTCATTATGTTTTCAGTTAAGTGTGTGCTTCAGTAAAATATTCCATTAAATACTGAATTTTAAATTCATTTTTTTAATACAATGCTGAAAAGCACTTAATGCTTTTAGTTGTGTAGATACTTGGATATTACTAAAAGATGCATACTTGTTGTCTAATGTATTATGAACAGCCCCACATTGAGTATGAAGCACTTTCGGTTTTCTCATTTAGAAAGAATTTTTGAGAAATCTGATACCCTTAACTAAGCAAATTGCAATGCTGAGAAAGAAGACATATACCTGCCACTGAAAAAGTAACCTTCTGATAAAAATTACACTTCTTGAGAAATATTTTTTACTTTTTAATAGTATTTCTTATACTGATGTAGATATGATCAAGTATGTAATATTTAAAAATATAAGTAGAATACAGTTACTCCTTTTGCAAGTTCTTTAGTATATCATAAATATAAAAGTGGAATGATAAATATAAATAAGTAAGTAAAACCCCAGTTTAATCCTATAGGACAGTAAAAACCAAGTGGAGAGTTTTAACAAACAGGTTTGCACTTTAAAACCCCTGAGGAAGCCTTTATTTTTTTTTCACTAAGCTTTTCATTTCTTCTGTAAAAAAGATTTCTTTACCTTGTTTAAAATCTAGGCTTGATCTGATTAATAAGAAAGGTATTTCGTGCTCTTTAAGTAGCCGCAACTCATTTTAAAAGAAGGTGATAAAAAAATAAAATACTGGGGACTGCTTTGGGATGATGCTGTGGCTCACAAGGTGCTTGCAGTGTCCATATAGAGTGGGAGCCAAAAATAAGCATGATATTCTCTAACATCGCTTTAAATGTTCTCTGGAAACAAAAGGAATGTCTTCATGTTTATTCACAACTACATGAGCAAGAACTTGTATTTCAAGCTAAGTGTTGGGGTAGTCATCCTCAGGAGAAAGCTGTTAATAAAGAATTCAAGGACATGGAAATATATGCTATATCATAGTGAAATACTGGGAAAATGAACGGCTATAGGGAAATGTAATAATATGAAAGAAGATTAGTATGTATGTATTTATATTTGTCGCTGAGGACTACAAGGGCAGGATATAATTTAACTTGGAGAACATGCAAAACCAATGTGTGAGATGGAAAGTGGTTCCGATTGCCTCATGGTTATGGTATTTAGAGAACAAATGCAACTTTTTGTTTTCTAGATCTTTATCTGTTTAGGGTTTAAAACACCCTTCATGACACAAGGTCAGGGATATTGCTTTGTCTCATTTCTGTCACCTCATTACAATCACCAACTGCCAAACTGGCTTCACTTGCCTTTCTTATAATTAAAGGTTTACATAACAGATCCCCAAAAAATGCTTCCCTGATATACAGGGATAGGTGAGCTAAGCTTGAATGGGATGCATTCAGATTTACTAAGCTGTTCTTTGTCCAGTGGTTACCTGACCATATTTGTGTCTTCCTAAAGAATGAGTTTGATTTCATTGGGGCATGTGATGCCTAAGTATGCAGAAAGAAAGTTTGCATGAATTATATTTAAGTACACAAATCTCCAGAGTTTTGGAGTCTTGTGTAATAAAATGATGGGCATATTTAACTTCTTGAGTGTGAGTAATTAGTAATCAGTTGCAAATTTAAAAAAAACAAACCAACCTACATAAATTGTATACATAAGTTAACGAGTTAACGATTTTGTGTAAACCTATTAATATAAAAGACTACTTAATTTTTACAGCAATACTTAACATTGCTAAAACTAGTGAATAAGACAGGTAAGGTTTAAGACAACTAAATTTCTAAAATTTAAGTGTTCACGCTTAGTGACAGAGTTATGTGAACTGGAATAACTTGAAGTCACTCATAGACTCGTATCATTTGTCACGCTCAGCACTGCAATTTGGCTTGCTGATTGGTATCTTGAAAGAGTATTGTAATTATTCAGTGTAAGAGTGATGGCAGTCAAAAGTAGGTCAAGCTAAACATTTTTTTCACTCTTATTTATAAGGTTCTTTTTTTCTCATTGGTTTTCTTTTTCAATAAATATTGAACTTCCTCAAAATTTGTTTTAATTAGGAGATATAACATTGCAGATTTCATATCAAACAGACTTAATGGATGGAAGGCCATGTGTGTATGCTTTGTTTTCAAAAGCTTTGTTTTTCAGTATTTATTTGCAGTATTGGTCTGGATTTAAGATAAATATCTATTGAGGAAAGAGCATGCAAAGCTTAATATTTTTAGTTCTGTTTTCTTCGGGCAAGTGAGTAAGCTTGTTTAGGTTACATTTAATGCTGGTCTCATTTCAAGTGGAACAATTGATGTACACAGATAAGGTTCTGACAGACCAAATCCTCAATTGCAGCACAGTGTTTTATACCTGAGAGGGACTAGCTTCCTGAGTATGTAGCACTTGACAACTTTGTGATGGTTTCAGGTTCTTTGTCTCAACCAGTTTGTTATGCTTTGTGTCTGAACCATTTGTGCTATTAAGACTAGGAATAATTTAAATACTGTCAATAAGAGAGAGGCTGTTATAGAACAAACATAATTTTAATTATCCAAACACCAGTATATTTCTAAATCTACTTTGTGTTCCCTTGATTTCTGTCTAATTATATGTAATTCTCCACAGATACATGCTGCTAATGAGTCTCCAGGATCGAAATGAAAAGCTTTTCTATAAAGTGCTGGCTTCTGACATTGAGAGGTTCATGCCTATTGTTTATACTCCCACCGTGGGACTAGCTTGCCAACAATATGGCTTAGCATTCCGGAGGCCAAGGTATGTAAGTTTATACTTCAAATAAAAGTAATTGTATCTTTTTTTCCTCCTGGCAGATTTCTGCAGGGGTTTTCTAACAGCTGCATGTAAGCCAAAACTGCAATAATTGAGATAATTCAAGCTACACTTTGGTATACATTAAACAATAATTTGTGCATTTCTTATCAGTAAGAAGGCAAGTGGTTGGTTGAATTGCATTAAAACATAAATATATTTTAATCTAATTAACTGATTATAACTATTAAATTGCATAGTATATGTACTGTATTATACTGTATAGTGTAACTATTATACTTTTAGAATCCTAGCTGCATACTAGAACACTGGAGAAGAATGGAACTTTAGTTTTAGATTTGTCTTAGAAACTTGAAAAGCACAGACTTTTGCCTATATAAATATTATAAATATATAAATTATTATTATTGTTACAAATTCATATAAACTATATAAATATGTTGTATTTTATACATACACACATATATATGTGTGTATGTAAAAACAGTATGTATACAAACTAAGGATGCATTACATATGTACCTACTGATATCTTAAAAATAATCAAAAATCATCAAAGTACCTGTTTCACTGCTTAATAATTTCTTGCTTCATAGGTTGGTTACTGGAGTGCTTTTATTCTGTATACAATATCTATATTAATAGAATGATGAGGAAGTGGTATGAAAGAAGGATAGACACTCCTGTTTCACTCTGCCTCTTGAACATCAACTCACAGAGTTTGAGATTTATGGTGGTTGCTGTTTGAGAACGTTGTGTATATCACTGACTTCACGTGCAATCTGGAACACTTTGGAGCCTTCTGCAGAATTTTTCTGGCAAAGAAAGACATAAATGAGCTGCATGTGCGTAGCTCTGTTAACAGAAATAGATTTTTTACAATGAAGGCATTGATCAAAAGTAAGAAGCTTGCAAGATGTAAGGGAACAAATGACTGCTTAAAAATTCTTCAACAGGAGATACTTGAGAGAGAGCTTCAAGGTTTTGTTCTTAATCTGAAAATCATTTTGGCCTTGTGGCTGACAGAATGAGTCAGGACCATCTGGTCAACTGCAGAAAACAAGAATTCCCTCTTCTGTGCACATTAAAAAGTTCAAAAATACCTCAAGAATCCTTATTTAAACCTGTTTAATGATCTGTGGCTTTTAGGTGCCTGCCTTACTAAGAGAAGTTATCTCCTTTTTCCACCTCAGTATTTACCACCATAGTGATTTTATTTGCCTTCCAGGAAGTGCTAAATGTGTCTGGAAATTAAGTCTTTGCTTACCCTGGTCTCATTACCCCATATTTTGATATTCATTGCCATATAAAATATTTCACAAGGAGCACCTCTGCCCATGCATATACTTTTCCCTTTCTCCCTAGAAGAGTGATGCATGTGTGGAGAAAAACACCTGGTTTAATTAGAGACATGGAATTGTTAAGTTTTTGAAAGACCTCCAAGGTCATTGAGTCCAACTTTTGACAGTATACCACCATGTTAACTAAACCATAGCACTAAGTGCCACATCCAGTCATTTCTTGAACTTTTCCAGGGATGGCAACTTCATTCCCTCCCTGGACAGCCCGTTCCAATGCTTAACCACCTTTTCAGTGAAGAAGTTCTTCCTGGTGTCTAACCTATAACTCCCTGGCACAGCCTCAGGGCTTAACAACCCCAGCTCCCTCAGCCACTCCTCCCACCACTTGTGCTCCAGACCCTTCAGTTCTTTGGCCCTTCTCTGGACAGGTGCTCCAGCACCTCAATGTCTCTTTCACAGCAGGGTTGGAATTAGATAATCTTTAAGGTCCCTTGCAATCCAAATCATTCTGTGGTTCTGTGATCTTTGACAGACTCTTTCCTACTGAAGAAAAATATCTACAATGCAATCTTCCACTGTGCTGTTACAGAGATACGTTTTTTTTTCCTCAGAAAAACCTTTTCTATATTATTCCAGAACCAACTATGCAAAGCAACCAATATAAGTTAGTTTGAAATTGCATTCTAGACTCAGTTAACGTATATATGCCAGCATACCTCATAAATAACATCCTTCATGAGATGGATGGAGAAGAAAATATAAACATTAAATTTAATATTCAGAAGGCAAAAAGGAGTAAAAGAGGTAAGATTTAGTCTGGGCTGTATTGTCTTACCATTTTGATTGATTTTATTTTCAAGAAGTTGCAGTCAGGGAATAAGGTATGATCTGATCATACCTTAAAAATAAGTTACTGTCATCTGTGAGACTTGTCTGTATCTGCTTTATGCTGACTCATATATAAGTCATTATATGACATCAAATGACTATTTTTCTTTCAAAATGATTTTTTTATTTCAGAATATTTTTAATACTGCCTCTCCCCACAGCTCAGAAAATGTTTGCTATTTCATAGTTTAATACAGATCCCATTAGAAACAGACTTGGGGGCCAGTAAGTTAATAATTACTGAGTTGCTGCAGATCATATTTATCCCAATGCAGTTTGCAAGGCAGTGTCATATTTAGTTTACATCCATAAGGGTTTTTTCCAATATTCAATATCCAGTTAAACTTCTTTGTGTTGTGAAATGAGCTTGAAGAGCCTGGCTCACAAGTTATCTCTTGAGGCAAAGAATAAGAAAATTAATTCAGACTCCAAAAAGCAGGTTTCTCGTGGAATCATTAAATGAGATCATCTTCTGTGATTCCCGTATATGTTTTTAGAAGACTTTATGGGCTCACAGGATATGCTTACAGTCACAGAAGGACTCTGTGGCTCAGGAAAAGGTTTTCATCCTGAAGCAATAGTTTGCAATTTTAGAATAAACATTCATGGCTGACCAGCTTAGCTGTCTGATTAAGCATCATTTATCAAGAGAACTGCCTGCAAACTAAGTTGATTCACTGGTTTGAAGCTCATCTGTATAACTGACATTTGTTTTTAATATTGAGACTCAACTCAAGATTGCATTACTCACTCTGAATATTTAGCTTTAAATCTGCCAGTTTAATGGATAAGAGTAGTATTGTAAAAGTAAACAGTATAGATCTGATAGCAGATCTGTAACATGCACCTACCTAGACCACATTGTAACATAAACATAATTTAGAAGACCAGTCTCTCTGGTCTTCTTAACTGTTGAGGAGGATGAGGGAAGAAAGGATCCTTTAGGGAGTTGGTCAGAGAAGGAATTTTGACCTGTACAGATAGAAAGAAGCTTTGGGGGAATGTAATGGGGTTCTGCTTCTATTGTAATGCTCATGCAATCATTAAAAGCATTTTCTCAGAATCTCTACTAGGTCACTTCTTGGTTCTATCCATCATTTAAATCTCTAAAGTAAAAAATTCTTCAGTTGCATAAGGCAACATACGTATGACAGATTTTGATTACTTACCAAGAAAGAATCTATTTCTGTAAATAGATTTCTGAAATACAACAGTTCTTTCATCCAACAAGAATAAATATGGGAAAGCTCAATGGAAATTTCCTCTAAGAATACAAAACTAACTTTTTGCATTGTATAGAGAACATCCAGGAGTTTAAGATTCTTGTGTAAAACAGCATTCAGAAAAAGGAGGTATACTTGCCAAGTACTGCTGTGCTGAAGACTTTGGACATTGTTAAAATGTTAGGTGATTGTTTATACATTGCCATTCCTAGAAGGAAAAGCCATTTCAATCAGAATATCATTGCACTACACAGGCATGGCAGAGTTTTCTGAAATAACGTCCCAGTGCAGTAACAGACTGTCAGGCTGTTACTGTGACTAGGAACCATTTTTAAAGCAGCTCTATTGGGTCTGATGCAGTCTCTTCAGAGGCAAAGGCTTTGAAATTGTTTACCAGATATCCTCCTCAATGAAGTGCGTGGCTGACTCAGCACGTACAAATCTAAGACTTAGTCCTTTCCTTATATTTCTCAAAAAGAATAAACTTATTTATATTTATTTTCTGTATTCAGCTTTACAGTTATTCAGATGCATGGTATTGAATGCAGATGTTGCAAATATGGTTTCTTTTTTTTGTTGACAAATGCTGAGATTGCCAACTGCAAGACAGCATCCCTTTTTAATAAAGAAAAGAAATAGAGAATGGGGAAATATGTATTTCCTGTGACAGAACATGCAAATTGTTAGACCTTGGCATCAGAAGTTGCAGTCTACTTGCCAGTACAAGGTTGATCCTGTGGTACATTAAATAATCTTTTCGTGGTCTTTAATGAGGCTTTTATTGGAATTATTTTTCTTAATTCTAATGGATGTCTGTGACATCCAAGTCTCTTCAGAATCCAAATTTGTTTTACTGGAGGCCAGAAACTTGTCAAGTACTCCATGATCACATGAGCCAAGAAAGTTCACTTCCTGGAAGTTTTTTGAGACTGTCTCTCCTTCAGATGTGTGATGTTTTCTTTATTGAGACTACTAGAATGTCTGGATTTATTTCACATAACTTTTTCACCAGCATAACAGCTCCCTTAGACTTTTTCCAGCACAACTAGATGTTTTTTCATCCCCTCAAAAGCATGTATATGTATACATATGTTGGTTTAGGGACTTTATTAATCTAATTGTTGCTCTACATAATTATCTTAATATCTTCATTTAGTTAGGAATTATTATTGTGTAATATAAAATTATATTAAAAGACAGAAGAAAGCACTGGTTTCACAGTTATTTTTCCTGATATTTTCTTCTCTGAAAACCATATAGAATTTTAGTCTCTAAGTAGAGAAAAGGAAATATGGAGGCTTTTTAACCAATCTCTTGTAAGGTCTTGGCTGTGAAAGCAGCATATGAAATCAAAATGTTTTGCAATAAAGGCATAACAAAAAAATGCATCTTTGAAAATAGACTGTTGTAATTCTGTTCTGTTGAAGGACCTGTTGTGTATTAAAAACCTGGTTTGGTTGGCAAGTTATTTTGGAATATTTCAACAGAGAAGTAGTATAGCTGTAGCATTTCTTTTAATTTTAGACAGTCTTTATCTTTATGGCTTCTAAAACCTGGTGATGATAGCAGTTGC